AGGCGTTAAAAAAACATAAAATGATAAACTTTAATTCTATTAGCTTAGCAGTGACAAAAATAAATCAGATGTGCTCTGTGGGGCTTAGCTATAATTCAGACTCAACATTGCATATCTTGCGATGTGACTATTGCAAATGTGCACATTACAATATCAATATGCCTAGATATCTATTTCATGTTATATCTACATATGAATATATAGTTGTTAAAATACAGCTCTACCTTAGAAGCTGGGAAAACAGTGCATTTTTTTAAATAGCTTTTTTTCTTAATCTATATTTCAAATGTAGTGGAAATACAACACACTCAATTCTAAATTTAAGTTAAGATAGTTTAGCAATGCCTTTGTATTAAACGGAGTGAAATAAAGAATGAATAAAGAATAACTAATTTTCTGCTTATTATTTCTTTCTCAAGGTTCAGGTAAGACTAAACACTGCAAGGATGGCCAATTCAGCTTTGCAGTTTGCACTCAAAAAACTTACACACTTCATTATTTTTTAACAAATAAATATAAACTTGACGAAAAACTGATCCCAAACTTTTTAATTGTAGTATTTAGTACAAAAATTGACAATGCTAACAGGCTCAGCCATTCTGTTAACAAGTCATAAACGTTGCTTTGTATTTTTACGGTGACCAAGCCAAACTTCAAATAACATGACTTCCCAAACAGAAGATGATGTAGACTTACCTGACTCACAGTAAACGATTATGTCCATAAACTGTTCACCCTTCAACAGCATGTTACAAAACATCAAGTTCAACGCTAGCCTTTTGGCGCAACAGATTTGCGTTCCCCGGAAACAAGAAGCCACTACTGCTACAGTTCCGGCGGATTCTGCATCAACGGGTTTGAGGTACAGTACGTGCTCGTTGATGGGTGAAAATGTGATTATTACAAAACATACAGTATATTACATATTACTAATCTTTCTTAAGGTCTTACTTGAATTATGTTAATTAAGACGTTCAAGAACCGGCTTAATAGCTTTTTTAAATGCAAACATTTCCTCAATATTCTCACAGCAAAATAGACCTGTACGTTAAGTTACAGGACGGATTTCAAAAGCTAGATTAAGTTGTGCAATTATATATGTGTAACCCTTTAATAAACGACAATATAGAATAGGAATGTGGCGGTGTACATGTAGTTTTTAGGGGAAGTAACTGTTAAGTTTTGTTTCTACATACGAGCTTAGGCCACATTAAGTTTCAAGGTAAAATGTGCAGGTAAAGTTAGTTGTTCTGAAAACCTTAAGGCATAACTTAGCTAAGCATCACACTTATGGAAGTTTACTTTTTGTTGCTTTATCATCATTTACTACAGAAGTATTACACAAAATCTGGAAAGGTGGTTAATATAACTAGTGTTTTTGTATTTATTTACATTTATAATGACAAGGTGTCCGCGGGGTCTTACAAGGTATTAAAAGTTGATAAATCATTGTAGAGAAATGTAAGGCCCTGAAAAAGTAGTAAAAAGTCTTAAATGCTATTTTGCAAGGTATTAATTTTTATATAATTTTTGATTATTGTATGTATGCTAAAGTTTGCCTGAATTAAATCTGTGAATATCAGGATGCTGTGTAGTTTATAAAAATCAATGAAATCCTAATAGATTTGAAATCATGCTGCTTTGTTTACTGCAGTAATCAAGAAAACACGGTTATTCCTGCAGTTCTATGCACCAACCGGCTGAATTAGCTAGATTTATTAGATTTTTATTCAGTATGTGAATAATGTTTTAGTTTTGGATTAGTTTCTTACATTAATATTCAGTAGTTATACTGTAAGTTAAAGTCTCGCTGGTGTTTACGGTTGAAACCTAAAGTGTTTATAAGGTTTTAAGATGTATGGAAAGAGTCCTAAAAAAGGTCTTAAAAGGTCTTGAATTTCAATCTCTAATTCCTGTATTTATTCTGAATGAGTGCAAAAATATATCCTGAGCTTCTTGTTTTAAAAAAATTATATTATTATAACACGTGCCAGTCAGTGTTTATGCTAGTGTACGCATGCACACATATGTTTTTTTTTTTTTTTTTTTACCAACCAAGTACACATTAAATTGAAAAAGTGGACAGAGAGGGCAAAGTACTCATGTTTAAACTGACTCTGGTTAAAGTTAAAGAACTGACTACACTTATGTACTTTCTATACAGTTTTGTGGATATTTTATTTTACTGATAAAGTCCCTGATGCTGTTAATATATTTATTCTATTTAACAAGAAACATACAGACATAATTACAACCTTCAAAACTTTTTGCGTGATTTTTTTCACACGACAATCCTTTGCATGATAATTTTATTTTTAGAGACAAACAGTAAAATTACCTGCAATGTTTAAATGTTTCTTAAATGAATTTAGATAAAAACAATAGTGTAAATACATGTTAAAACTATAAATGATATATAAGGAACTCATCAGAAATAAATCTCAATGCATAAAGTATTAACATTCTTTAAATAATTGCTTTAACTGTACAAATGTTGATGAAGTACATAATTGTTAAAGATATTTTGTACAGTATGAAAACTGTGCAAACTTATTAAACTGAAGGATCAAAGAAAGTCTGTACAGTAGGCTACATACACATGTACTGTTCACAGACCCTAATCAATAGAAAGTGGTAGAACGCTGACAAGAGACTCCAGTCCTAAGCATTTAAACGTCAGATTTGACCAGTCTCCCTTGTTTTCCTGTGATCCAATCAACCAAAATGCATCGTATTACCCATAAAAACAGTCCATCAGTCATGTGTACATCGATGACTCCCTTTGTATCCTTGCTTTTCTCATTGTAAGCTTTAATTTAATTAATTGTAAAGTGAAAAATCAAAGTACAGTAGCAACAGTAAAAAAATACAGTATATGTAAAGTAACAAAGTGCTATATTTGTACTGGTACTTGCCATCTTTGAAAGAGATATAAAGTAAAGAAATGTATAATGTCATTAATATAATATAATGTTAATATACACATTACTAATGAATACTTATGTCATGTTTGTCTGTTATTTTGAACTATTCACTTAAGAATCCTAAAAGTAAAATGTATCACTGATAACTATAAAACCATTAATATTGGTTAAGCACCAATATTATAACTAGAATAAACTTTCTAAAGGATCATTGTGCTAACAGCAGTAAGACTGAATTTCATTTCTAAAACTTCAACAGTAGTTTATGATCATTCAATTATTAATTTTCTTTTCGGCTTAGTCCCTTTATTAATCCGGGGTCGCCACAGCGGAATGAACCGCCATCTTATCCAGCACTTTTTAAGCATCCACATACACTCATACACTATGGACAAATTAGCCTACCCAATTCACCTGTACCACATGTCTTTGGACTGTGGGGGAAACTGGAGCATCCAGAGGAAACCCATGCGAACACAGGGAGAACATGCAAACTCCACACAGAATCGTCAACTGACTCAGCCGAGGCTCGAACCAGCGACCTTCTTGCTGTGAGACGACAGCACTAACTACTACGCCACTGCGTCATCGTGTATGATCAATACTTTTAATTAATTCAGGTTAAGATGCAAGTATTATGTTCAATCTGGTGATGCATTTAAATGACTGAGGTGAATCAGTAAAGGTAAACATTTAAAACTGTCAGCTAAATATTTAAAAATAAAAATAGTATTGATAGAACAAGTATCCTTTATCTAGTAGTAATTCTAATCAATAATCTGCATTAATACAAAATATATCAGCATTATCTCAATCTGACTAAGACAAAGCACCTCCTCCTGGTCACTATAGCTAAACACCAGTATTTAAGCTCACTTGCGCTTTCATTCTAGGAGGATTAAGATTCCACAAGGGTTAAAAGATTATATTATTTAAAAATAAACGATTTATTCAAACTGTAGCTTATGTGTGTTTGTTGTTATGATGTTCCTAAAGACACAGTTTCCCCCCAGAATAAATTGTACTCACTATGTTCTCATCCTCATGTGGTTTTAAACATTTATATTCATAAATGCATAACCTCATATAGAATTGATCTAAAATATGAGCTAAATATAAAGTTGTTAAGGGATAGTTGATTGAAAAAAATAGATTCATTGTTTCTAAACAGTTTGAGTTGAACACAACAAAAAATATTTTGATGAAAGCTGAAAACCGTTGGCATTCTTAGTCAAAGAAGTGAAGGGTTACAAGTTTCCTGCTTCAGTCAAAATATCTTCCCTTGTGTTAAAAAAAAAAGAAACTAGTTTAGGAACAATGTGAGTGAATGATAATGAAAATCTTCATTTTTGAATAAACTATCCCTTTACAACTTTCTATTTAGCTCATATTTTAGACAAGTTCTTTTTTATGACTCTTGCATTTATGCATACAAAGCTAACGCATGCTTTACATTCATTTTTTAAATATACTTTTCTCGATCAAAAGTGAGCAAAGATGGAAAAAATACTTTAAATTGTTTAAATTGACTCTTTTAAAATTTAAAGTACTGACTACACTTTTGTACTCAAGTGTACACTGTTAATTTGATTTATTTATTTTTTCCATACAGTTATGTGGATATTTTATTTAATTGATAAAGTCACTAATACTGTTAATAATATTTATTCCATTCAAAAAGTGTCCCTTTAAAACTTTCTATTTAGCTCCTTTCTATAAGTACAGCATTTATGCACACAAAGCTAACGCATGCTGCTTTATTTTATTTTTAATTTTAAATATACTTTTCTTGATCAAAAGTGAGCAAAGATGGCAAAAGTACTCATTTAAATCAGCTCTTGTAAAAGTTAAAGTACTGACTGCACTTTTGCACTCAAGTGTAGTGTTTGTTTTTTCTATACAGTTTTGTGGATATTTTATTTCACTGATAGAGTCACTAATGCTGTTAATATATTTATTCTATTCAAAAAGCATCCCTTTAAAACTTTCTATTTAGCTCATATTTAAGATATAAGTCTTGCATTTAGCCATACAAAGCTAACGCCTGCTTCTTTATTCCCTTTTCCCTTTAAATAGACTTGACCCTGACAAGATTCAGCATCCCTACATCAGAAATCATGCGTCAGACTCGCGTCCCCTCGTTTCACATCACGTCGCGGTGTCAAGTTTTGAGCTTTCCTGCCTCCGGAGAGAGACAGAATCCTCATCAGCTGTGACAGCGCAGAGAGAGGTGAGGCAAACCATGTGACTGCGGGGTATCAGGAGAGATTAGTGAATAGGTAGGAGTGTGTCTGTTACTGTCTGGCTAGATTGCTGTCTCTCGGTCATCGAGACTGACCTGATTTGAACCACCGCTTTTTCCCCCCCAACCCAGTGATATCGTCGACTTCACTGCAGCTCATCAGTCGCTTGCGAACCTGCGATGGCACTGCTTCCACAATCCGTGGAAGCAGAACACTTTGACGGTCTTTCACTCCTCTACTGGTAGGAAAAGCCATTTATCTTCTTGTTTTCTGTGATTGTAGATTAAGCAAATGCTCATGCTCATTTGTAGCCTCATTTAGGTTTCTGTTTCTGCTTGTTAAGCTTACATTTCAGCCAACGGTAACATTCTGTTTACATAAAACACATGCATGTGTACAGTATGTGCATAGAAAACTGCTTTCAGTGAGCTGCTCATTAATATCACCACTAGGTATTATATGTGGTTTAAGAACGTGTCGTTTTGGAGTTCAATATCATTGTTGTGCGTCAGGAAGTGGAAACTTAGAGCAAGGCAAATAGGATGCACCCTAGAGAGGATGGTTTGGATGCAGTCACTTGAGTGCATATCCTTACATGGCTTGAGCAAGGTAAGACAGATTAGGTAGAATTAAGTGATCAGTTTAATGCTGGATCTTTTGTAACACAATCTCACACGCTCCATCTGAGGGTGACTCGTTAACAGCACAAATCCTTTCGTGCTTCATAATTGCATGTATAAGCAGAAAAAGGCACGCAGGGGTGTTTTAAGATGTAAATAAACATGCCAGATCTGCCTGCTGCAGCAAAGGGGAAGATTATCGTTATCCTTAATCTAGTTCTAATTCTTCTTGTTGCTTTCAATGTGGCATAGATTAAAGGGCATTGTTTACAGTCTAGGAGAGGAGATAACAAAGAACACTAATTGCAGAGATGGGAATCAGGTTAAATACATCGCTAGTTAGAAGTGCAAGCATTTGTCCTTTTCATCCTGTTCGGCTCACGCTGACCGCCACATGAACTCAACCAAACGAAAACAGCACTTTGGTTTTGAGATTATAAATCCTGAAGGTGAAACACCATCTGTTTCAGGAGCACAGTTGTGTATTCAGCTAATGTTTGCCGTTTATGACTTTGGCACGTTTTAATAAGTTTAGCAAAAGCATTGCGCTGGAAGAAGGAATATTTATAAATCATTCATTCATTTTCTTGTCGGCTTAGTCCCTTTATTATCCCGGGGTCGCCACAGCGGAATGAACCGCCAACTTATCCAGCAAGTTTTTTACACAGCGGATGCCCTTCCAGCCGCAACCCATCTCTGGGAAACATCCGAACACACACAATTTAGCCTACCCAATTCACCTATACCGCATGTCTTTGGACTGTGGGGGAAACCGGAGCACCCGGAGGAAACCCACGCGAACATGCAAACTCCACACAGAAACGCCAGCTGAGCCGAGGATCGAACCAGCGACCCAGCGACCCAGCGACCCAGCGACCTTCTTGCTGTGAGGCGAACGTGCTACCCACTGCGCGACTGCGTCGCCCATATTTATAAATAAAATGTGTTTTTTTTTTTTTTCAGAAAATGGAAGAACATAGCAAACATTTTCATTTGTTTTGATTGAAAGACAGGGTTATTCCTCCTGAGGAAATTTCTGAGGTTGGTATTGGGCTCTAAAAATGTATCTAAACATATAAAAACGAGACAACTTTTTTTCATTAACTGTTATTTTGTGCACTAAATGACAACTTTTATATTTTAAATTCTGAAGAATACAGAACAAAGCAAATTTTTTGACTAAAGCCAATGCTAATAAATCTTAATTCCAGAGACTACATTTTAGACTACATGTTATGTATTTCTTTAGACCACATTTTATGTACAATTGTATATATTGTACATTTTCCTTTTCTTAACACTCTACTTTTTATATTAACATTATATGTTAGGCACCTAGGGTCTGAGAGTAATGTAATTTCGATTCTATATATGTCCTGTACATGTGGCTGAATTGACAGTAAAGCTGACTTTGACTTTGACACTATGATCATTTTCAAATGGACTCTTAATTATACTTAATTTTATTCATTTCTTACTCTTCAAAATAAATGTATGCTACAATGTGATGGAAAAACATAAAAGTTCATCTAAACAATTCCTTTTATTCCATTAAAACCTTTTCCTGATTAGATTAATTTGATTTATCAGCATAATAGTACGTTATGTTATGTTTAGGGCCTCAGTGACCCCAGATGTCAATAAATGCAATTAATTTTATCGTGTTTAGATTCTTTAAATGTTTTACACTTATGCTCATTTCAGTTGTATTCTTGGATTTGTTTTGTTTTATTTTTGTGTAGTGTGTTTTTGCCGGGGTCAAACTGTCTCCTGAATGGCAATTGCCTTTTCAATAAGTCTTAAGTGAAAAAATATTTGTCAGATTTGAAACCAATACTTAAAATTTTAGATTGAATATTAGCTCTAATGAATAAAAGAATGAGTAATAGTACTAAAGCATTTATAAATCATAATGCTGATTTTAACATTTACTAATATATTACTAATATATAAGGTTGTATCTGTTAATATATAATGCTTCTGAACAATTTGTTTAACTAACATTAAAATGTTTATGTTGATTTAAGTTAATCCATTAACTGATGTTAACCAATGAGACATTATTAAAAAGAGTTACCAAAGTTATTTGCAGCGATGTACAAAAAATAAACTCAGAAAATAATATTCAATAACATTTGAATAAAAAGGCTACATAATTACAATGAAAATATTAAACAATCTTGGTCTCATAAATAGGAACAATTTCAGAGTTTTATTAGCATCTCACTTGATGTCCTTTAAAGTAAAGCATTGTATTTGTTTGCTTTTGGTCTGTTGTGGGGATTAAATACAATGGGGATCAGACTGCATATATGCCCTCTTTCTATAAAGGAATTACTATTAGACGCTTTCATTGTTTATCTACAGTTCATTTACCTACATTTTGTGATTTTTAATATACAAGCATAGTAATCTACTTTCTGAATAAGCTTTTCTTTATTTTGCCTTATGATGAATCATTGCTTCAACCACATTGTTTACTGTAATTTCTTTTACATTTTTAAAGCCCATATTCGATTCACTCACTTTTTTTCCAGCTTAGTCCCTGATTTATCAGGGACTGCCACAGTGGAACGAACCGTCAATTACTCTGGCATACGTTTTATGCGGTGGATGCCTTTCCAACCACATTGAATTCATACGTTCATATTTCTATATTAAAAGTGGTTTAACCTACTGAATCATTACAGTAAATAAATTTAACATAAACTTAAAAAACACTGAGGTGCAATTTTACATCCAAATTTATATATATATAGCATTTATATATATATATATATATTTGTTCTGCAGCATTTACCATTATCTTCTGTTGTAATAAATCTCTCATTATGCAGCCATTTTGGAGGAAAAAAAAGATGAGGAATGATTATATTCTTTCCTCTGGGATTTAATAATTCTTGCATCAGAGGGTCAACCGCATTATTACTATCCATTCGATAATCTGTGTTTTTAAAAAACAGTCTGGAACATTCATCTGAAAATCTTCCCTTTAGGATAGTATGTCTTGTACCGATTTGTAAAAGAATTTCTCTTTTTTTTTTCAGGACAATAATGGGACCTCATGGCATCAATCGTGCTGTGGAAAGACTAGAGTTTACAGACTGTAAAAAAGGACTTGGTGAGTTTATTATAATATTTTTTTGAATATCCATTGCTTTGAGGTATTTCGGTGTACAGTTTGTCCTGTCACTCCCATTAATCCAAAAAACATTGTTCTCAATTTGATAGGCGTGAAGATTATTGGGGGCTACAGGGGACAGAGCGGTGAAGAGTTCGGCATTTTCATTAAACGCATTTTGCCAGGTGGCGTCGCGGCACAGGACGGTATGTTCTTTCTCCCAAAATCTCGCTGGAATACGTCTATTTAGATTCTGGGGATGATGGATGGTGTCCCTTTCTGTCTTTCAGGGCGTCTCAGACCAGGGGACCTCATTTTAGATGTCAACAACATGAATTTACGGGGTGTTACGAATGAAAAGTAATTTATTTTGGATTGTTTACTGTATGAGCATGTAATAAATGACAAGATGCTTGGAGTATATTAAAATAACTGAACTGAATTGAGAATTACAGTTTAAGTGAGAATTATTATCCCTCCTAAATTTTTAGCTCCACTGTTAATTTTTCCTCTATTTCTGTCTAATGTAAAGATTTTTTTCAACACATTTCTTTTAAACATAACAGTTTAAATAACTAATTTCTCATAAATGATTTCTTTAATCTTTCCCATAATGACAGTACATAATATTTTACTAGATTATTTAAGGTACTTGTTGCTTAAAGTGCCGTTTAAAGGCTTAACTAGGTTAATTAGGCAAATAATTGTATAACAGTGGTTTATTTTATAGACAATGGAAAAAATATCGCTTAAAGGGGCTAATAATTTTGACCTTGAAATGCTTTTTAAAAATAAAAACTGCTTTTATTCTAGATAAATAAAACAAATAAGACTTTCTCCAGAGGCAAAAATATTATAGGAAATACTGTGAAAAATTCCTTGCACTGAAATATTTGAAAAAGAAAAAAAGGCACAGGAGGGCTAATAATTTTAACTTCAACTGTATATGTGTTGTTTTATTAGGGCAGTGGAGGTTCTTCGAATGGCATCAGCTACAAATCACATGTCTTTACTGGTAGTACGTGACGACGCTTCCAGGTAAGATTTTTAAAAATTGGGATATTTTTACCTAATTATGAATGACTTCAGACGCCAAAACCAGACTTAAAGCAACACTCTTCTCTTTGGAAATAGGCTCATTTTACAAGTCACCTAGAGTTAGTCATCAAGTCAGTTAAGTTTTACCATATTTAAATCCATTTAGCTAGAATGGAATTTTTAGCTTAGCTTAGCATAGATGAATAAATTGGATTAGACCATCACCAACTTTCGCAAAAATGTCAAAAAAGTGTTTTGATAATTTTCCTATTTAAAGCCTGACTCTTCTGTGGTTACATTGTATGAGCAACAACTCATTCTGGCATTATAATCAAGTAACGATGAAAGCGAATTTGTACAACTTTAAAGGTAAGTTTTTGAATCAAAAATGTTTTTATATTAAAATGGTTGTATCGCAAACAAATATTGTTCTATTCTAACGAATTATACAAACTTAGTTTTAAAACATTCACACTTATGACTGGTTTTGTGGTCCAGGGTCATGAATGGAGAAAAGAAACATCCCTTTAACCAAGTACAGAATGTGCTCTGCTGGACATCATATACTTAATCCTATAAATGGATGAGTACACACGACACACAAGCGTCTTGATTTTTTTTTACATCTAAATATAGTCTTAATGCACTTAAGAACATTAAAGTCTTTAGCACTTCATTAAGAATTTTGGCACTTGTTGAATGAGAACTTTGTTTCCCAGCATCGTGCTGGGTTGCGGCTGGAAGGGCCTTTGCTGTGTAAAATATATGAGTAGTTGGTGGTTCATTCCACTTTAAAGGAGAACAAGAAAATTCTGTTTAGATGTTTGCATCTGGAAGGATTGGACCTTAAGAATGTTGATGAAACTTTTATAAAACAAAACCATTTAAAAATCTTATTAATGAATGAAAAAGAAAAAATAAATTGTGTTTGTTACTGAATTTACTCATTTTTGATTGATCAAAAAAAATCTAACAGTCAATTACACCAAAACATGATTTCAAACCTGATCATTTTAATCCAAATTTAAAATATAAGTTACATTTAAAAGATAAAAAGTTTGTACTTTACAATTCCCTTTATTGTAAAACACATTTTACTGGACTTTGCTTTTGCTTTTTGCTTTTGCTTTATTTATAGAGCACATTTAAAAACAACAGATGTTGACCAAAGTGCTTTACAAAGCAATCAACATACAAAATCTATACTTGTATTTATAGACGAAAACGGTAAAACAAATTAAAATTAATTGTTTATAATCTAAACAAGAGTCAGAAGGTGATTATTTTTAATGAGACTTAAAAAGCACCAAGGAAAGAGCATGACCTGATATCTAAAGGCGGACCATTCCACAGATGAGGGTCTGTGACAGAAAAAGCCCTGTCTCCTTTTTGATATTGATCGACTGTCCTGCTTTTAATGATTTCAGAAGGCTTTTTTTATTAAATGAACTCTCTTATGGACGTTTTTAACAAAGTGACACCAGGGAAAGTTGTAGAATTTTTATCCTCTATTGACACAAAAAATCTTATTTATTTTATGTATTCGTTTATTTGTTGTTTTTAATGTATATTTATTCTTGAAATGTTCTTGCCATGAAAATAGCCTTGGTGGCTGACATGGCATTAAATAAAAAAATCATTACATTATAAGATAATAACAACATATAATTAAACAAATGAATGAAAATGATTAAGAATTAGATTTATAGCTGCTCAAAAATTGTTTGTTCTACATATTTATTTCAAACAAACAACACCAGAGTCTCATAAATATTACTGTCAATTTAATTGATTTTACTTATATAAAAATTCACTTTGATATGAAAGAAGCTGATCAATGTTTCATGATACAGTGGTTTCTCAAAAGATGTACAAATTATGCTTATCAACAAACAAAAACAAAACAACAACAACCAAAGAATGTGAGATATCATGAAAAGACTCTACTTTACTTTACTAGAACATAAATCATGAATTTAGCTGCTTCTTTTCTTGGTGAGTTGTTCTTTTTTTATGATTGTGTTTTCTTTATCTCTTTTAGTTCAAGTCATTTTAGGAGAATTGAGCTATAGCCGATCCGCAATGCTGAATAATTTTTCGAGGTCACATGCTGTGATTGTTTTGTTTGGTCACTGTCTGCTTAGCCCCAGGTCTCGGATTTGGGCAGTTGTCAAGTTCTTTCTGTCTGTCTCAGTTTAAACAGAGCTGGCATTTTGCTGGTCTCAGTGACTTCCTGATGAGCACTTTTGTACTCCGGCTGAACAGCTGTTGACGTATTTGGGCCGCATGTCTGTCATACGCGCCCTGAGCTGAACCAGCTGAGGTCAGGATTTAAGCTGTAACGGTGTAAAAGGATTACACTTGTAATTAATGGGCAATCAATCACCTCAAACTGCGTCGGGACAGGAAACATTCTGAGAATATGATGTCAAAAAAGTCTACTGCTTAGATCACATTTCTAATTTGGAAAGGCTCCAGCTCTTAACTTTGATTCCAATTTATCGGTGATTACTTCAGTAATCTAATTAAGCGCTTCTAAGCTTCTTTGAGAACTAATGAGGAAGTTGCATTTAATGGGAGTCGTCAAATTAACTAACAAGGCACTGTTAGATAAGATAAGATTCTATAGCACTTTTTCTTACACGCAAATCAAGCATGATTTAATGAGGAAAATTTCTCCAATTTTAATAATTGGATAATGAAGGTTTCAGAAAGGGTGACTCTAAATAAGACTGATTTTGTGTGTCTGTGTTTGTTTATTAGGAGGGAATTTACTGAATTAATGGAAAAGTATGGCTCCAGCAGTAGTACCAGTTCTGGATCAGACACCTCTGTTTCCACAGGTATTTTCCATTACATCTGTCACTACACTACATTTCAGGAGGGAATGACTTTTGTTTGGTTTTGCGAGCTTGCAAGAACTGATGAAAATGTTGAAATGGATAGAAATGTCGGTATCACTTTATTTTGATGGTCCTTTTAACTTATTTTGTTGAGCTTAAGTTACATTGCATCTACATGCCAACTAATTCTCATTTGATTATAAGTAGCTATAACTGTCAGGTTAAGGTAAGTTGACATGTATTTTTGTTTTTAACATTCTTTATTTCACATTCAATTGGAGGTCACACTTTATTTTGATGGTCCGTTTGTTGAATTTAAGTTACGTTGCATCTACATGCCAACTAATTCTTATTAGATTTTGAGTAGACTGTAAGGTTGAGGTTAGGGTTAGGGTTAGTGTAAGTTGGCATGTACTTTGCAAAGTTTCTTATAGCCATTTAAATGTCTGTTGAAGGAGCAGTATCAACAGATATTGAGCAGACAGTCTACTAATACACAAATGAGAATGAATTGGCATGTAGTTTCAATGCAACTTTTAGTCAACAAAATGTGCAATAGGACCATCAAAATAAAGTCTTACCAAAATGTTCTACAGAGAATGCATCATTGTATTCTGGAGACAATAGATTTATCAAAATTTGCAAAATAAAAAGAAGTTTAATGAAAAGTTTAAGATCAGCAATTATTTTATTTAGTCATTGGGAAAACAAGACAAAAAATATAATACCAAAAAACATACCAAGTATTTAGCAAGGATGCTATAAATCAATCAATATTGATGATGAAGACCCCCCAAAAATCTTGTCTTAAACCTATTTTTTGTTGTTTTAAAATTGCACACACCCTATAATCACCTCTACACGTTTGTAACCTAATTTGCACTAGTTTATGTGCTGCATTTTGCATTTTTAAGTTATAAGTTATTCATTTTTTATTTGTGCATTTAGGAGTGAATGATGTACGTCTGATTCTGAGAGCTTGCAGGACATGGATAGAAATAGCCTATAGAGCGGTTTGGTTTCTGGAAAGCCTCCTAGTATTCTGCAAACAATAAATTTCTAAAAAATATACTTGAATGTTGCACAAAATGTAGCTTAATTAATTGTTAAAAAAACAAATTAATTCTTTTATTTAGCTATTATGCAATCAATTACAAGTTTCATTGAAGACCTCAAAAAACATGTTTTTAGTGTGTGTGTGTGTGTGTGTGTGTGTGTGTGTGTGTGTGTGTGTGTGTGTGTGTGTGTGTGTGTGTGTGTGTGTGTGTGTGTGTGTGTGTGTGTGTGTGTGTGTGTGTGTGTGTAGTTTTTAAATTACATACATTTTATTATTGTCTCTACTTGTTTTCCATCTAATTTCACTTTGTTTGTGCTGCGTTTAACATTATGAAAATAATGTGTTTTCTCATTGTCAATATTTTACTCAATTTTACACTCTTATTTGGCTCTCTCTCATACTAATTTGCCCTCTTTAGTCAGTTTGGCTGTTTGTTAATTGCACTGTGCTACTGATATTGTGGCATTCATTTGTGTCTTTTTAAAGTGAAAGAGCAGTAGATGTGTGTTCACAGTATTAAAACGCAAATCTCTTGAACTTGACCTCTACACCCTGAATTAGAAAAAATAATGTTTCATGAGAATCCCATGACAACCTATGTTTCATTGTTTTATAGCAAATTGGTCAATGGCTCTAAAGAAACACCAGAATCCAAGAAAGATTCTTCGTGTACAGATTTGCAATATGATCAGACAGATTTATAATGGAATCATGTATGTGTTAAAGCCCAGAATGTTTCAATTAATACTACATTTAAAATGATCCAATATAACTGGGCGATGCATACTTATATCACACCTGAAAAACTAAACAGGTTTAACCCAAACATCCCAAATATATATTTCAAACGCCAAAAAAACATAAAGGAACATTGTTTCATTGTATCTGAATATGAAGTGGATAAGATTTTCTGGCAAAACGTAGTAACATTAATCTCCTCAATTATTTCAAAACCAATTCCAGTTACCCCTGCAATATGTGCTTTGGGTTTATTTCCTGTAAGTTTTTCATTACCAGGTTATCAAATTAAAATTATTGACATGTGTCTTGTTATTTCAAGGTGTTTGATAGCACTCTATTGGAAGAACATAGATAGTCTCTCCATTGACCACTACTGAAAGATTTGACACATTACATTGCTCTGGTAGGAATCACCTACAGCAGTGGCAGATTAACTACTATTTTTAAGAATGTTTATTATTATCAGCCACTTTAACCCTTATAAATAGTTTGAACATTAACACTGTACTGTGCTTAAAAAAAAATAAAATTAAAAAAAATGATAATAAAATGTCAACGTTTAAATTAAAACGTGCTTTTGAAATTGTAGGCTACTGTTCTGAAAAAGTAAAGGGAAAACTTCTATACGTAAATATAAAGTTTTAAGTATCCTATTCATCAAAACCTGGAAATGTTGCTTGGACCTCATAAATATAGGCTAAATGTCATCATATTAAAATATGAACCATTGTTGATCAATTTTAAAATATATGATGTATGTCCATATGACATATTGGATTACTCTGCGTACCACTTAAAGGCAGCCCCTGTACGACCGTTTGAAACCACTGACCTACAGTCTAAAGGGCTAATTTTTAAATTAATAATTTTAGGATCGTTTTATACAGTTTTTGGAACAAAACCTTACAGTGGCACAAGCAAATACCTCTCACTCTACACCTGAAGGTTCGTAAGCTGTCACTGGGGTGGTACCTTCTCAAAAGGTACAAATTTGTACTTAAAAGGTCCATTTTGATACCTCAAGGGTACATATAAGTACTTAAAAAGTACAAAAGAGCTCCTCTTAAAATTTGTAGGTTTAAAATATATTTTTGAGGTACCAATATGGACCCTTCAAGTACAAATGTGTACCTTTTGAAAAGGTACCACCCCAATGACAGCTATTAATGTATGTAGAATACAGTACATGGTTTTATTTGTCTCAGCCCATGTATACCAATATATTTAGCTGTTCAACTGAATTTGAATGCTTTGGGGGTGGGAGGCGGAAAGTTGAAATGTAAAAAATCTGTAATTTCATGATAAATTTCAAGCGTTTTTGTTTCTACACATTTTTTTTTTTTTTTAATTATAATAAAAAAGAAAATCTCTTGTCATTAGGAAAGATGACAGACACAGCGTCCTCCTCCTCATCTTCTAGATCAACCAGTCCTCTGCTTCTGAGTCCTAAAGAACCAAGCCCAGTGTACACCACCGCCTGCATCAACTCCCCATCTCCACAAGTCTGCACGTAAGAACTACAATTACATGCTGGAGATTTGTGTGCTATATGAGGTCAGAAACCCTTGTTAATACAGTGGTGTTCACTAAGTGAGCTGCAGTCAGCATCTTATTGCATGTGCATGATCTTTTGCACATAAATTTCACATACTTTTGAGATTCCTAGCAAATTAACTTTTCCTTTGCTTAAAAGTCCGTCTACAGGCTTTCATGTGCAACCTAGGAAGCTGGGAAGGGTCTCATTTTTTTAGTTCCATTGCAAGGCACTCACACATTGACATACAGTGTAGCCCCTTTAAACTAGCTTTCCAGTTAAAAGATATGACAGAATCCAGTAGCTTTCTGACACTATTGCAGTTAATAGTCTCCTGATAGAGGAGCTTGAGCCTGAAAACACCTGGCCTAGCCTGAGTGCGAGTGAAATCCCACAAAAAGATTAATTATGAATAATGGGGAAAATCGAATCACTCAAATCTAATTGTTTTTGCTGTTTATCTAAGCACTTACGTTTGGCTCTCTTTCCGCAGAGACTGCATGATTCAATTGATTTGTGTTGCCAAAGGGACGGGGTTAGGCCTGGTCATCAGGGGCGGAGCTAATCGTGCAGAGGGGCCAATGGTGTTCGTTCAGGAAATAATTCAAGGAGGCGACTGCCAAAAAGTATTTGAACATTATCATTGTTATTATTATAATTATTAATATTATTATTATTATTATTAATGTTATTATTATTATCTATTGTTGTTATTATTATTATTATTATTATTGTTATCTATTGTTGTTGTTGTTGTTACTATTAATATTTATTTATGCATTTTTTACTATTATTATTACTATTATTATTTTTATTATTTATAGTATTGTTGTTATTATTTTTTTACTATTATTATTAATATAATAATAAGAATTGTTTGACCACCAATTAGAATAATTTTTGGAAGGATCATACAGCAGTGAAGAATAATAGGATTAGTCATCACAGCAATGCATAAATTAATTAAATAAAATATGTTATTAACATTTATTAGTAAAGACCTTATAAAATTTTGTCAAAAACAAAACTTTTGAACATCAATTTAAAATTAAGAAGACTAAACTGAATTACAATAAAGTAAAAATAAAATGTTTTTCCCTGTGTGACTCTAGGACGGGAGGCTAAAGTCCGGGGACCAGCTTATATCCATCAACAAGGAGTCACTTGTTGGAGTAACACATGAAGAAGCCAAAAGCATACTTACTCGAACCAAACTCAGGTTAGGATATTTTCATATGAACACAACCTTTCCATAATGACAACGTAATTCAAATATGCTTGATATATTAGGACAGTTTGTTTCCATCCAAAACAAATGCATCTGAATGATGGGTCTACAGTAATGTTTACAAGAATATCTGTAAATGTGACTTGACCCCACAGACCAGACCCTACAGTAGAAATCGCATTTATCAGACGAAGATCTTCGTCAGGCTCCAGCAGTGGACCACACAGCCCTATCTCCCTTCAACCCTCCTGCAGTACAAATCATCCAGCTCCCCAAACCAAGCCCTCTGGACTGAGTGGAGCAGCTTTACCTGGAGGCCTCGTTCCCAAAATAGCCAACACTCCCAATTCTGGAAGTGAGACGTTGCCTTCTGTTGAACTTACTAAGGTAAGTTCTCAGTTTGTGCATTCTCGCTTTCTACCCTCAGGATTAAGGGAAAGACACAAGGAAAAGATGCGAGGACAGAGGAATTGAGTAGTGAAATTATTAGTCAGAATTATTAGCACTCCTAAATTATTAGCCACCCTGTAGCTTTTTTCAACACGTTTCTAAACATAATAGTTTTAAGAACTAATTTCTAATAACTGATTACCTTTATCTTTGCCATGATGTCAGTAAAGGCATAACTAGGGTAATTAAGTTAACTAGGCAAGTTAGGGTAATTAGGCAAATCATCGTATAATGAGGGGGCTTAAAGGGGCTAATATTATTGACCTTAAAATGTTTTTTTTCTTTTTTTAAACTGCTTTTATTCTTAACAAAATAAAACGAATAAGACTTTCTTCAGAAGATTTTTTTTAGGAAATACTGTGAAGAATTCCCTGCTTTGTTAAAAATAAGTGGGGAAATATTGGAAAAAGAAAGAAAAATTCACAGGAGGGCCAATAATTCAACTGTATATCCACACTTATTTACCGTCACTTCCAAGTGTCAACATTTACATTTAGTCATTTAGCAGATGCTTTTGTCCAAAGCGACTTACAGGGAATACACTTATACAAATGCAATACAACACACACAAGACGTGCTAATTATACGAAGAACTGTTTGTGCTCAGAGAATTAAATGCTAGAGTTAATCATTCATTCATTCATTCATTTTCTTTTCTTCTTAGTCCTTTTATTAATCTGGACAGCCAACTTATCCAGCATGTTTTACTTAGAGGATGCCCTTCCAGCTGCAACCCATCTCTGCAAAACATCCATACACACTCATTCACACTCATACAGTAGCGACAATTTAGCTTACCCAATTTTCCTGTACCGCATGTCCTAGGACTGTGGGGGAAATCAGAGCACCTGGATGAACCCGACGCGAACGCGGTGAGAACATGCAATACCACACAGAAACGCCATCTGACCCAGCAGAGGCTCGAACCAGCAACCTCACTACCTACTGCGCCACCGCGTCACCTGCACTAGAGTTAATCATTTAATGATTATTGTACACGTCTTGTTATGGCTCAGAATTCCTGAATATTATAGATAATAATTTCAACCATTACAAAACACCAAATTTGTATGTTTTTTAAACTTGTTATTAACAATGGATTAGCTCCAGTTATGAACTTTTTTTATTTGTGCTAAAAAGTTACATCAAAACTAGAAAAACTAAGAAAACAAACCACATTTACTGTAACTTTATGCTTAATAATTACATTAATGTGTGTTTGAATTTTCTGCCTTAGTTCGCAATTTTTTGTTGCAGGTGTGCATCACGTTTAGTCAATAAAATATTTGCATACCCTCACACAAGCCTCCTCACTTCAAAAGAATTTGTTTTTATTCAAAATAATTTCATTTCATAGCAAAAACATTATTATTTCACTTATCCCATTGACGGATCATTTCGCTTGTTTTAGTGCATTTTTGCAGTGCCCTGTCCTCGATTCTTGCCTCCTCGCTGTGCAGTTAGAGAATTAAAATGTCCTTCAAGACTTGATTGGTTTCCGGGTCGTAGGATGAAGAATGGATGAGAAAGGAAATGAGGAAGGATATTGAGAATCACCCAGAGAGTCATACACCTTTATCAGCAGAGCTGTGGTGAAAATCATTTGAGAAATATGTTTTGTGATTTCAGATTGCTTCGCTATCCTATATTGAATCAATTTTGAGCTTAATTTATGACAGGCTAGGCTAGTTTTTAACTGTACACTTAAATGCTCACATTAGAGCGGCACGGTGGCTCAGTGGTTAGCACTGTTGTCTCACAGCAAGAAGGTTGGTGGTTCAAGTTCCAACTGGACAGTTGGCATTTCTGTGTGGAGTTTGCATGTTCTCCCCATGTTCATGTGGGTTTCCCATTGGTGCTCTGGTTTCCCCCACTGTCCAAAGACATGCACTAAAAGTGAATTGGGTAAATTAAATTGGAAATGGTGTATGAGGGTTTGTGAATGTGAGTGTATGGGTGTTTCCTAGTACTTGGTTGCGAGGGGTTGGGTTTCCGCTGTGTAAAAAACATATGCTGGAGTACTTGGCGGTTCATTCTGCTGTGGCGACCCCTGATAAATCGGAGACTAGGCTGAAGGAAAACAAATAAATGAATGATAAATGCTCACATGGAATAGCTCTTGTGCTCTCAGCTGAGTCATGTATTTTGACTTTTATGCCACGAGATTAATATAAACACCACTCACTATGAACACTTTTATAATTTTTATTTATATACACTGTTATATAATCTTATAATTTGCTTTAACCTTTCCTAACTTCATTAATGATTATTTTAGGTTCAAGTGGTTTTTATAAGGACATGGATGCAAGCAGAGAATGGCTATTTAAAAATCATACAGCATCATCTGCTGCCCAGAATCTATTATAGAGAGAATATTGGTGCCTTTTAAAAATCTCATAATCAATTTCTCACCAGTTTTTGACCACAGGTCTATTATTCAGCGTATAATGATCATTTCGAAGTCTTCATTTCACAAATTTACAAGGGCAAAGACCTTAGGAAGATAGTGACTGTTTAGATTAGAGAAGGCATAAGACATAATTTTCAATTTGTCTTTGTAAAATATTTATGTCGGGATATTAGCTCGTCAGATAAGTGCTCATTTTAACTTTAAGTCATGTTTACATTTTTAAAGGATGTTTATGTTGATTTTTTTAAAAGGCTGGCATAGTAGTTGGATTAACTAATTGTAAACATGTTCAATTTAAATAGATTACAAGATTTTACTGACAGGGATCAGAAAACTATAAGGTGAGCCAGTCCCATTAGTTTTTGCTTGAATTTGTCAACTTTGTGAAATGACAACCCAGTGATTTTAAGTCTCTGAACGTTTTTAACCTGTATGCGTAGTTCATGTAGGCTGTCTCTTGGGGTGTTTGGAGTCTCCACAAACTGTAAAATGTGCTACATGTTTGTAGCATAGCATTTTGTGTTTTAATCCTTAAGGACTACCGACATTCAGTGACTATACTTCTATCTGTCACAACCTTGTTTTGGCCTTGTCTTAGCAGCAGACTGAATAAGGTCTGTTAGCAATGCTTCAGAGACAGTGGTTAATGTTTCCATTAATTTGTGTCTTTCCTACAGGTACGAGCAGCAACAGGGAAGCCTGTTCTTGCCCCCGTGACCTCACCTGAGAGTGCCTGCACCACAGTGGCCAACGCTGGTACTGCAGTCCTGTATTTACTTACAGTAGACTTGAACTCCTATTTAGAGATTTAATTCTGTTTCCAGTGTTTGTGTCTGATTGTTCTTTACCACAGACGATTATTTAAAAGGACAAATATTCTGGTATAAACCACAAAAAAAATTAGAATTACAATGGAAATGTGTTAAACTATTAATTCCAAGAATGAAAACAACAAAAACTGGTAACACTTCTCAATAAGGTTGTATTAGTTAATGTTAGTTAATGTATTAGTTACATGGATTAACAACAAACAATACATTAATTGCAGTTTTTAATTATCTTTTTGAACACTAAAGAAAATAAAGTTGTTCACTGTTACTTCTTGATAACTCAGTTTATTAACTGGGTTGATACTTATAACTAATGGATAAGTAAATGTTGAACTGTGATTAGTAAATGAGATACAAGTATTGTTTGCTCGTAGTTCATGTTAGTCAGTACATTAACTATTGGAACATTATTTTAAAGTGTGACTGAATAACTTGAATCTATAGCTATTATCTCATAGTAACATAAATTGGATGTAGTGAGAGAGAATGTTTGGTAAAAATGTCTCTAAACATGTTCAAAAAGCAGGGAAAAGCTACAAAAATTAATTAAAAACTAAAAATTTATAAAGACATCTTATATATTTAATGAACTTTTCTTCATTTGCCAAAAGTATTTAAGCTAGAAATGCTTGACTGCATTTACAGTATGATCTTTAAATATGAAAAAGATTGTCTAAATTCTGCTTATTTTTTTACTTTTAACTGTTACATTTGAATGCATTTAGATTCAGTGTCATCTAAAAGGTTCGCACAACTCGACACATTCAGTTAACTCTAGTTAATAATAGAATTACTAAATCTGAAACCAACTATATAAATAGTAAATAAAAATGTTAATAATAATAATATAACAAAAATGTTAATAATAATTATAAAATTATATTAATAATAATTCCTTAATAATATTAATAACTCCTTACTTTTATATAATTCTTTTTTTCTGGACACTCAAAGCACTTCAAACATTTTTGAGGAGAATCTCCTCATCCACAACCAGTGTGCAGCATCTGTCTCGATGATGCGATGGCATCTATATTGCGCCAGACCGCACACCACACACCAGCTAATTAGTGGAAAGGAGAACGTGATAAAGCCAATTGTGATAGAGGTTTTTTAGGAGGCCATGATGGACAGGCCAGTAAGCAAATTTGTCCAGAATGCTGGTTTTTTTTTTTAACGATCTCAGAGAGTCAGGACCTTGGTTTAACGTCTCATCCAAAAGACAGCGCCTACTGAGCAGTATAGTGTCCCCATCAACATACTGGGGCATTAGGACAGGTTGAGCGCCCCCTACTAACATTACTTCCAGCAGCAACCTAGCTTTCCTATGCGGTCTTCCATGCTGGTACTGACCAGGCACAGCTCTGCTTAGCTTCAGTGGTCGACCATGCAAGAGTTGCAAAGAGCTAGCTGCCGGCTGGTGTTCACAAAATAAAAGCTAAAAGACTTATAAAAACAGGAATGAAACTCTAAATAAACTGAAATTTACAGCAAATTTAAAGATAGTATCTAAATAAAAACTAATTTAAAAAAGTAAAACTACAATAATATTAACACTAATACTACCCAATATTAACACTATAAATGACACTAATGAAAGCTTTGCTGTCTCAAATAGTCCTGTTCTTTCTAATGTTTCAGTTTTTTATTGAACCCATAACTTCTATACTTTACTTTAAACTAACCTCACAGCACTGGTCTGTGCAGCTTTTCACATTCTGATGCATTGTAAATCTGAAACTCGTAGATAAGAAACATTCAGGCACAACCGGGATTAGACTACCTGTTCTGCAGACATTTAGACAGCCGTGTGCTGATGAGACGTGGCGTTTGTAACCCAAGATAATCCAGCTGGCATGAATCTAAAAATGGATATTACCATCAACATGACACATAACTCCAGGTGAAATCCAGGATACTGAACTCGATTCTGGACATTGTTGCATTTCATCGACGAGCACCTTTAATAAATCAAATTTCAACACCAGCTGTACTGCGTAACGAACATGGAATATGAAATAAAAAACATTACAGTTTCTCAATGTTTTGTCTAAACTCTAACCTTAGGACTTTTTCCGTTGTTTTGCATAAAGAACTGCATGTGCATATTCACAGACGTAGATAATGAAAACAAATCACTTCACGTTGCATGAAATCCTCATTGAGATTTAATGCCAAATCTGTCACGGCAATGGATATTATTCTAAATATTGGCTTTGAAATTCCAAGAAATCATTGTGAGGAAATAAATCCTCTTCCCAAATGGATAAACAAATATGCGGATAATGAACGAGTGAACGATAAACGATGAGATGGTGAGCTCATAGTGAGAGTACATACCTGTGAGCTCAGTTACACTGTGCTGTTATTCAGCGTAAGAGGATTTGACAGGGTTGGCACTATTTTGAGCAAAGCATTGTGCTTTCAGTTTACTGTTCATCTAGATGGGGAGGGTTTATCGAGGAAAAACACGGTCTGCACAAACAATATTAATTCCTGCTTGTACACAAAAGCATTTATCTAAGCCACCACGAAGGATCAAATTTAATAAAGTAATATTAGAATGAGTTTAAACTGCTGTCCTGAATTGTCCCTGGTGTTTTTGAACACTTAAGTGACTCTTTGCTCAATGATTTCAAACTGTTTTGATATTGATAACAATAAAATATTCTTATTAAATAATAATTTTTTAAAGTATATTTTAAAGGGAGAAAAAATACAAAATATTTTTAAAATATAAACTTTAATGCTTTAATATATTTTAAATATAAGTAAATATATTAATATATATATATATATATATATATATATATATATATATATATATATATATATATATATATTTTTTTTTTTTTTTTTTTTAAATAGTACAACTAAACAGATACAATAAATATTATATTTTTATTTAATGTATATAATTTGTATTTATTTTATTATTTTATGTACATTTTTATTTATTTATTAAAAAAAATTTTATCTTAGTGGTTGAAAATTTTAGAGAGGCTGTGTGTGTAAAAAAATCCAAAGCAAACGTCATCTGCAAACAAATGATTATTATAACCGTGTCCAATGTGCGACGACCAAAAACAGTACAAATGCACAAGATTTTCACAAAACACTTGTTATATAACGCAGAAACATGCGTGCATTTTTAAGTGTGGCTTAAATACCCAAATACTCTTTTCTTTCGTGCCACTACTGCTACAAATCTACTCAAACAAATGATACCCTCATGGACTTATGTAACCGTCTTAAAAAATGTGATGTGCTTTACCAAAAGCACAAACAGCTGTTTTTGCAAAGGAGATTTTTTGGAGATTATGTGCTTGCAGTTTAACTCATTTTCTTTCTCTTTGCTCAGATGCATCCGCTGCCTGTAACCCCAGCAGACCCTCCAAACCTCTGTGCTCCGTCCAAAGCTTCGAACTCAAGCCCGAAAAAATCGACCAGGTCTTTAAAATCTAATCCTTTTAATTTGAGAACATTAGTTACACTGCAAAAAACATATTCTGTTAAATTTATGGTAAAAAACTGGCAGCTGTAGTTGCCAGAATCTTACAGTTAAAAATAAATACACATTATTTGTTCAGCATAGGATACAACATAACCGATGAGGAAAAATATCCTTAAATAACCATAGTAATGTCAAAAAAAAAAAAAAAAACATAAAAATTGAATTGTCATGCAAGGAATTCTGATAAAGTACATTTGACAGTTATTCACCATATATATTAAGGAAACATAAGACGTTTTTACAATGTACATTTCTATCCAAAGTTGTAAATTTACTTAATGAATTTCCATGCCAATGTTTTGAAAACATTAACATGGTACAGTATATGAATAATATCAGAGAGCAGCAGTATATGGATGCTATTACAAATCTGTTAGTGTAGACTTTTTATTTTTTTAAAAGAAAAATACTCAGCTGTGTGGAGCACACTCACAATTGCACAATTTTTTCAAAAGGAATGGGAAGCTTATAAGAAGATGTAAGGAGAGAAAAAGAGTCTGACTTCTAAGGGGTCGTTCACATATTGGGTTTTTTGCACAAGCAAGTTCATCACTTCCAACGGAGGCATACATCTTGCGACATGGTCACGTTTTCAGGCGAACCATGTTGAAAACATCTCAACCTTTAAAAATGAGTTACGTGACAGATCAGGTTTATACTCTGTATTGAATTTACACATTCCAATATAATAGTTACATCAGACAGGGCAGCACGGTGGCACAGCGAGTAGCACAATCACTTTACAGCAAGAAGATCGCTGGTTCAAGCCTTAGTTGGGTCAGTTGGCATTTCTGTGTGGAGTTTGCATATTCTCCTTATGTTAGTGTGGGTTTTCTCCAGGTGCCCTGGTTTCTCCCACAAGTCCAAAAACATGTGGTATAGGTGAATTGTGTAAGCTCAGTTTTCCGTAGTGTATGTGTGAATGATTGTGTATGGATGTTCCCAGTAATGGGTTGCAGCTGGAAGGGCATCTGCTGTGTAAAACATATGCCGGATAAGTTGGTGATTCATTCTGCTGTGGCGACGCCAGATTAATAAAGGGAATATGCTGAAATGATAATGAAGGAATGAATGAATCACATCAGACAAACACAGAACACCTAAACACTGCAGTGCGTTTTTAATTTTTTCCGTAAATAAAACTTGTATCAGAGCTGCAGCAATGATTTGTCAGCTTGTCATCCTCTGAGAAAATGGTTGATGGTCACCTAGTAATGACAGACAGCAAAGGTTCAGAAGCGCAAAGTGCATTGAAATCAAGCGCCAACCTCCCGATCTCCCTCGTGAAGCTAATACAGAAGTAACTGAAACTGCAATGCATTGACATTCCGCTAGTCCTGGCTCCACATTAGAGCACATTTCTATTGACCCCAATGTTAAAATGGCCAACTTAGCAGAAAAAAGGTGTTTACAGCCTGCGACAAAAAACTATTTTGGTGTATACAGATAATATTACCCTTCATGACAACTTTGAGGGGGTGAATTTTTTTAACAACTCATGCGTTTCGTTTATATTAAATTATATTAAGTCTACATAATTAAGGGCGTGGCCACTTGAATGACAGGTAGGTCTTGCTGGTTGATGTCATTTCACCTCAGCTGATTCCGATTAGCCGCTGATTTCGGCATATTCATTGTAGTTTTGTGTTGTTTTATGTGGCTGTACACAGTCAGTTGCCTTTGGAAATATTTCCTACAATTATCAGATAATATGACATGCTGTGGGCACTAATTTGTGTTCACAAACAATTCAAGTGGCCTCCATTTTCCAGATGAGTAAAATTATATATTTAAATACCATATCTGTAAATGTATTTATTTTATTTTAGATAATTTATCATTTATAATTTTCTTTAAAACTTAAATACACTCCAGAATGCCAGGTAATGAGGTATTAAGCGTTTCTCCCAAAGAAAAGTCCGTCTAAGCAAAATAATATCAGGCATTTTTAGCTCCTATGACGCTTTGCCTCTTTGCCCTTTTTTGGTAACTCCTGTTGGGCACAATGACGAACAAAATGGTAACAGTTGGCCACTCCTACTTGTAGCTTTATTTGCGCTCTTAAGAAACCTATGGGTGCCGTCACAGATACTACATCCATATTTTTTACTGTCTTTGATTAAAAATGAAGGAAGCGACATGCTCGCACTTTCCACGCAAACTTAATCACGATATGTGAACAATCCCTAAAAGTGATTTGTCAAGCCCATTCACCTGTGTAAAGCACATTAAGAATTGCCCAATATTTTCCTGAATAAAATGGATTGTTGAAAAGAAAGTGTGGTGCATATGAAGAGGACAAAGTGTATCACCTACAAGGTGGTTTATCAAGCCCACACTCCTGCATGAAGCACACTATTTAAAAAATTGCACATTTTCAGAAAATACAGTGTTGAAAAGTGTCTGGTGCATATGAAGCACCTACAGGTGGTTATCAAGCCCACTCACAAATGTAGATCACATATCGGATAAATATTTACACGAGTCATTTGTTTGAATAAGCTTTCATTGCATATTTGTTTTTCATGCAGATCTTGGGGGTTTCCATCCAGTGTTTTTTTTTTAATGAGATACACAAAAAATAGGTGGATGGTACCATCCATCTTGTATCTGTCCAATCACAGAAGTACAGAAACATCTAGCGTTTATAGCAAGGTCATATGCTGGTTGTCCTTCCAGTAGGCCTTAATGATTGGTTACCCCACAGTCTCAGTACTGGATTGATCCTTTATGGTTTTACTATTGTGTACCAGGGGATTTATTCCCTGTTGGACAATGTATGCAGTTAGCATGCTCTCCTGTATCCACTCCTACTGTGGTGTGATGGGAAAGCAATAGAGACTGTGCTACAGCTTCAGTGGGTTCACTCATCAGATCTGTTGTTCTGGACAAACAATGTAGAGAATAGACACATTTTAATAAGACTATTAACTCCAGAAGCTTATTTCACAGTAATGTGTACTTTATTTCTTAATAAAAATAAAATGTTTTATGTATAATATTTAATATTGAAATTTAAATGATTTATTCATGTATAATTACACTAAAATGAGATAAAATATAATATTGTAATTATTATTTATAGATTGTGCACAGACGTTGAAGCGTGAGTGTGTGCAAACATGTTCTATAATGGTTGTTGTTCTGTCCACAGACTTTGGAGGTGCTTGGATTGAAGCCGGCTGATTCTCAGGTCTTGACGCTGAGAGAAAGACTGCGTTTAAATGCTGGAGGGACAGTGGCTTATGGAGGTAAGAAAACCTTTCTGTTAGTTTTCATTATGTTGTATTTTATGTGTTATATTCAGTGGATTATTGTAGGTTTATACTTTTAATAAAACAAATTCTTCTAATAAAACATTGTTATTCATTCTCTATGACTAAATGTTTTTTCCTAACGTGGGTTTTTCCGGTAGATTTTGATACAGTGACAAAGGAACTTTTTAAACAACCGTCCAAGTTGGATTCAGAACAGGAAGTAGCAAGATTGACATCAGATGATCTCATTGAGTCTCCATCAAACCCTACGGTAATCAAAAATGGGTTGTATTGTTTTGCATTCAAGTCCATAATAAATGCAGAGAAAAATGATAGAAGTAATAGTGAATATTAGTAAAATATAATTGCTTCTTTAAATCAATCTTTTAAATTTTAACATATTTAATGTAAAACTAATTGCTGTAATAAATAAACTGAACATTTTTAAAAAATAATTGTATTATTTTAGTTTCAAGTTAAAGAAACAGTTCTTCTTGTTTTAATATCTAAATAAATATATTTTGCTTAAATTAAAATTAATTTAATAGAAAGTACATTGAAAGGACAGAAATGTCAAATATTTAAAATTTGAAAGAACGGTGTGATATTTTATAGACAATTATGATCATTATAATATCATATATAATCATATATAATTTGTATTTTGCAGAGGTTGGTTGCAACATAGACTCATTCTGAAAACGTAGCCTTATATGCGTTTCTGGAGTTCGCAAATTATGTAGCCAGAAGAACCTATGGCTGCATTTTGTCTTTATCAGCTGACCACGTGCCTTCGTATGGATGGCTTTTCCATTGTTACCAGTTTGTCCAGTTAGCTCGCCATGTACTTTGACTTGAGACACCGAGATCAGTTAACCACGACAACAGGGTTTGAGTCCGATGAAGAACAGTTCCAGAAAGCAGGTAAGACAAAAACATAAGCCAAAAACGTACACAGCCACAGCCATGTCACCCTGCAGCCCAAGATCAGTTACTCACTGAAGCTAAGCAGGGCTGAGTCTGGTCAGTACCTGGATGGGAACTAGGGAACACTAGGTTGCTGTTGGAAGTGGTGTTAGTGAGGCCAGCAGGGGGCGCTCAACCTGTGGTCTGTATGAGTCCTAATGCCCTAGTAAAAGTGAAGGGGACACTACACTGTCAGTGGGCGCCGTCTTTCGGATGAGACGTTAAACCGAGGTCCTGACTCTCTGTGGTCATTAAAAATCCCATGGCACTTCTCGTGAAAGAGTAGGGGTTTAACCCCGGTGTCCTGGCCAAAGTCCCTCTATCGGCCCTTACGATCATGGCCTCACAATCATCCCCTTCCACCGAATTGGCTTGCACTCTCCACTCCACCAATAGCTGGTGTGTGGTTAGCGCACTGGCGCCGTTGTCCTGTAGCTGCCGTTGCATCATCCAAGTGGATGCTGCACAAAGGTTGTGGTGTGAAGAGGCCCCTTTCATGATTGTGAAGCGCTTTGGGTGTATGGCCATACACAATAAATGCGCTATATAAATACACACACACACACATTACATAAAAAAACATAGAAATAACGATGAAAAAGTGGTAAAATCTGAAATGTGGTAAAAATCAGGCGAAGGCTTTTCTTTTTTGGCTTGCTTTTTAAAACTGTTGGTTGGGATTAGGGAAGTGGGTGGGTGCTGGTCAATCTGTGCTTTTGAAAACCCTATTGGTGGAGTTTAGGAAAGGAGGTGAGTGGGTCAGTCAATCAGTCAGTCAGTTGACAGCGGCCCATGGTGGATTTATGGGAGAACAGCAGGTGCGAATGACACTAGCGAGCGAAATTTGAGAGCTCAAAAAGCATATACAGCGTCCTCAGGTGGATTCGCGAAAAACAAAAACTGCAAAAAAAAAAAAAAAAAAAACGTAGCTCCTGGGAGGTATTTGGTACTCTCCAGAAATGTATATAGCGGTACGCTTTCAGAATGAGCCTGGGTGTTTTAGCATATATTATATTCTATTTATAACATGTGATTGTACAATATAAAACAACATTAAATTACATAAATTGTATAGAAAACAGCTATTTTCAAATAAAACTATATTTCTCAATACTGCTCTTTTTAGCATTTTTTGATTTATATAAATGCAACATTTTTGAGCAGAAAACACTTCTCTCATAGACTTTAATTATTTATTTTATTACTGATTATATAAAACATATAATGTTTTATTTGTAAATATTTAATGCAGTGTTCTTTATTTAATTTTGTATTATTTTGTCTTATTTAAGCCATCATTATCAGACTCTGATGATCTGGATGAGATGGAGAGGCTAAGGAAAGAGCACATCGAGGCCTTGAGGGAGCTCAAGGGACTGCAGGTACCATTATCACACCCCTTTTAAACACCCTGTCACATGCTGGAATGTGTGACATTCATTCATGTGTTATTGAGCGAGGCTCTCATTAATCCTATTTGTGCGAATGAGTGAGCTAACGCTAATGCTGACTCATGCGAAGATCTCTTTTCTGACAGGATAAGCTGGCAGAATCCGAGAGCCTTAATCATAAGATGCTGCAGGAACTGACAAAAGTTAAACAGGTACGCAACTCGCTCTTAGCAGCCCATTTTAACTTGTGTGTGCAGCACAGTTTAGCATAACAAGTAGAGTTGCTGGTAGAATTTCAATGCATTTATCAACATAGTTGTTCAACTGTAATATGAGCAATTCCAAGCAAATGTCAAGTACTTAAAAATGTCTCTGTTAATGTTTTCAAACAATTATATTTGATTTAGCAAAGTCACACAAGTGCCAATTTCACATCTGTCACATCAATAACGAAGCTTTTTTCTCAATAAATACAAAAATATAAAGTAAAAAAATCAATCATGAATAAACTCGCAAACTTTTATGGTCACATCCATGTTTATTTTTATCATTTAAAATATAAAAAATATTGATCATTTTCTAATCCCAATCCTATGTGGTTAGTTTTTTGTGGAAAATATGAACAGATGTTTCAATGTAATGTTAACTTATACTTTCTTTGAAAAATTATGCTTTGAGTTTTAAATGCAAATTTCACATCCATAATGCTCGAATGCTTTAGTAAAACATCAAATAAATGGGCTCACCTACTCTTTTAAAAAAAGTTTTCAACCAAGTTTTAGGCATGTTCTGTTTAATGATACAATAAAAATGTATTATAAATCACAACCTAAAATCAATTCCTTTATTTATTAATAATTTCCTACTAATGACTATTTATTATGTTAAATGAGAAAATAATTACATTAACAAAAAAGTAGCTTTACAATATACTAAAAAAATAGAATTACACACAAACATATAGGATACAGTCCATACACATGCAGGTAGATCAGCAGTTCCTTGCTAAAATGGCAGTAGTTGCCAATAGATGTCTTAATGAGAAAATGACAGATTTATTAATTTGATTAATTCAAATGGCAGATTCATTCCGGAGTAAATAAACCATTTAATCTTTAGTTTGCATGATTTGATCAATACACATTCATTTAGCAAAAAAAAACAAAAAAAAAACACGCTGATTGAAAATGTTTATATGCATTGTGTAATTCAACTTTTTAATTAATAAAGGTGTTAAATTGACAGGCCATACACATTATGGAAGATATTAAGAGACTGCTTGAAAAACAGTTTCTCTATATTTATTAGATATGGGTATTACTAAAAGTGAATACATTTTACTAAAAGTATTATTTGGTTAATTATATAATGGTCTGATGACATTTATTTTAAATTTGATATAATATATCGATGCTACAGTATATTAATGATCATTTTGCAGCTTTTTTTTCAGCAAGTTGCAATTGAATAAAATAACAAATATTTTCTTTGATTGTGAATTGAAAATCAGGGTTCTTCCATCAAATGTTCATTTTTTAAAGATTCTGAAGTAAAAAAAAAATAGTATTGCATTGTCTAAAATTTGATTAAGCATGTATGAAAACATGACACCAAAATATAAAGTTGTGTTTAAGTAAATACATTTTTTTTTACTGATGTTGTCATTTAGAGTAGTGGTTCCCAACCTTTTTTTACCTAAGACCACCTTTTCTCTCTGAAAATATTGGAAGGCCCCCCTCAAGATTTATTTATATTATCGTTCAAATAAGTTTGCAATTATTTTGCCCTGTGCTCAAAAAAATGCTCTGGGCTAGTCGCAGTATTTATGGATAAGTCAATAGCAAATGTTTTATTAATTTGGATGGGTTTATGCATTCGTTAGCAAGAACTTACGCAGGTAATACACTGTGGCTGTGTCAGGGACACTTTGCTTCGAGAAAAAAGAATAAAACCATAGTTCTGATAACTATCTTGGTATTTTCTGCATTTTGTGTCTCCAGTATTGGACGCGCTGTGGCCTGAAATGTTTGTAGCTTCCTCACTTGGGTCTAGTATGCTTAGGTCATTAGTATTTGCAGCTGAAGACAAATCAGTGAGACTCCAACGTTTTTGTGGAGGATGAATTACAAATTTGTAAATTTTTTGGTTAGCCAGGAAATAAAATGAACTAATTGTCCACTGCTATTTTTTTTTTTAAAAGTGGATGCGACCCCTACAGAGCTCGCTGAGGCCCCCTTATGGGCCGGGACCCCTTTTTGATCCAATACATTTTTGCCATGTTTTCAAAAAGTCATTCGTTCATTAATTTTCCTTCAGCTTAATCCCTGATTTATCAGGGGTTGCCACAGCAGAATGAACCATCAGCTTATCCAGCATATGTTTTACGCAAAAGATGCCCTTCGAGTCGCAACCCAGCACTGGGAAATACCCATACAATCATTGATTCACACACATACACTACGGCCAATTTAGTTTATTCAAATCACCTATACCGCATGTCTTTGGACTATGGGGGAACACAGGGAGAGCATGCAAACTCCACACAGAAATGCCAACTGACCCAGCCGGGGCTTGAACCAGCGACCTTCTTGCTGTGAGGAAACAGTGCTTACCACTGAGCCACTGTGCTGCCTATTCTCAGACATTTTTTATATTAATTTTCACAATACCAATGTTTTGAACTTTAAATGAGCTAAGCATAAACATTTTACTCATATAGTAAATCCAGAGAATTTTCATACATGTTTTAACAACACTTTAACTAAAATAGCAATGAAAACTTAATATATAAAAACACTAAACTAAATTTAAGCTATAAATAAAACTACAATACTCATATAATAGTTTGAAACATAGAAATCACAAATATAAAAATGTTCACAATTAAAACGGTTACAGTTTTGGCTTGGATTTGTGCATTTATTGCATGCTCCAAGCTTTCAGACATTTATTTTTTCCTATTTATTAATTTGGGTGCACTTTAATTTTAGGTAAAGTAGTTCCATGCACTTCCTATAGTAATTACAGTGGATTATACTTAATTACAGTACCTAACCTTAAACCTAACCCAAATTCTAACTCTAACTATATTGTGTGTACATGTAATTAATTGATATTACTCAATAGTTAAGTGAATAATTATACTACAACTACATTATCACTGACATAAAGCATAACCTTTAATTCAGTCATTCATTTGTGCAATTTTATCATTGACATTTCACATTTTTATCAATTCTGTTGTCACAGTAAAGTGTTATAAATGCCACAAGGAGGAGCTCTAAGCACATGTGCCTTTGCAACTTTAAAGATGAGATTCAGGTGCTCTGTGGAGTTATACACTAAAGCCGCATCATTGTCTCTGCAAAACTCAAATAGGCAAAAAAAGAGAGGAGATATTCTATGAGCAATATCCAAAAATCTATTTTGGGTGCATTGTGCGCACTTCAAGAAGCTTGAAACACCCACATCAGGACATCGTGTGGGAGATGAAGTATGTGGGACATTGAGGGATGGCGATCCCTGTTTGGAAATAGATCTTTATGAGTTATAAAGGAAAAATCTCCCACAAGCCCTTTGGGTTCTGTGTCAGAGGCTCTGAAGTGCCTGTTACGTAAACTCAAGTCCAAATAGCTTCAGCATTCTGTGTGAGATTAATTGAATTCAATGTTACTATAGGCTACTACTAAAGTATTTGTGCATTCTGATTGTTAAGGTCATTTGAACAAACCATTAATATGAAGTATTGAACATGAATGATACTAAAGTGTGATTTTTACTTTTCTAAGCATCATCAGTAAGATGTTTTTTTTATTATTATTATTAATACTTAAAGTTATGTACCTGAACATTTTATTAAAATTTACAGTAAAGACATATACAGCGCTGGAAAACAAGACCATGTTAAAGTTATTATTTGCTGAATTGCTATAATTAGGTATGTGTGATGAGTAAAATGTTCAGTTGTGTCATAAATTCATAGAAAATTATTATCATTTATATAGCAATAGCAATAGCAATATTATATAGTAATAGCAATATTTGCAAAAACGGACAATGTGTCACTGTAAAATATTCCATTCTTTTTTTTTTTAAATAAAGTAATGATCCTGAAAATTCTCTTTTATATTCTGTTGATTAAATTACATTTTTATACATGCCGAAATAGAATAATATTCTAATATTACTATTTCTACTGTTTTTTTTAATCAAATAATTTTATACTTGGTGTACATGAAAGACTTTCGAAACATTAAAAAATGTACTTACCAACCACATATAAGTAAAGTTTATTTATAAACTCATATTGAGAGGATCACATTCTTATGATTGACCACGGCTGGTCTCACAATAGCTGTCACATGATTTACCAATCAGACCAATCCAAACGCTTAATAAATATCCAGATTTTCTTACATTAGTCATCTTTGTCTTGAAGAATCCCCTCATCGACCCCTGCTCCTCCACCTCTTTCCTCGATTAATCCAGGATAGGGCGACACTGCGGCTCAGTGGTTAACACTGTTGCTTCACAGCAAGAAGATCATTGGTTCGAGTCCCAGCTGGGCCAGTTGGCATTTCTTTGTGGAGTTTACATGTTCTCCAATTGCTCACGTGCACTTTAAAACCCAAAAAGTTAAGGCAACTCAAACCATTTGAGGAAAACGATTGCATCAAACCATTTATGCTCTAAAACTAATCTAAATGAGTACTGTGTACTTACTCTGTTTAAGCTAAAGTAATGAGGTGTTTAATTAACTCATAACCTTCAACACTGAATTCAAATCTCTTTTCAAATGAGTAGAATTACCTTTCAGTTTATTTTGAGTTAACTACTTTCATTTCATTTGATAAAGTTGACTGTTATGTTTTACAATGGGGGTTTTCTCTGGGTACTCTGGTTTCCTCCCACAGTCCAAAGGTATGCGCTATAAGTAAATTGAATAAACCAAATTGGCAAAGTACAAACATATGCTAGTACAGTTAGTGGTCCATTTTACCATAGCAACCCCTATAATCAAACAAATTAATTCAAGGGAGCTCTCGAGACCCACCTGAGCTCAGACTTCCTTCTCTCCTGACAAAAGGGGATGGAGCCCCGGGCTCAAGGATCTTCTGAGCTCTCTCTCAAGGGAGTGAATCCCAAGCACACTTGCTTTTAATCATCAGATAAGTGTGACCTCTTGAATTCATATTTAGAGACAGAATAATAT